GAAGAAGACTTCATTAAATGACATATATACATATATACTTTTCTTCTCTCTTCTTTCATGTTAACTTATTTATTTTTTATGCGTATCTCTTGTAAAATAATATAACATACAATTTTATAGCATACAGTAAAAGGTGCTGCCAAATCGTTGATAGAATATAATATATATTCCGATCAGCGTGAGCTAAGGAGGCTTATGAAGAATATTTGCAGCAAAACAACGATGAAGCTTTTCTAAATGTAATGTGTCAATGATTTCCTCCGATTATAATTAATATTTATGTCTCGTGTTATGTCTGTAAAATATGAAGATCACGGTCAGATTCAATTGTAAATATATCATATGCCACAATCTCGATGTACTGTACATAAATGTTAACCTATATCAATGTCAAAATATTGTATTAGTATAAAATATTGATAAAAAAAACAAAAATTGTTTTCTTGATGATTTTATTAAAATATTTGAAGCAAGAACATAACAATGATAGTTAAGGATCTAGACTATAAACCGTCAACATCTTGCTAGTATTGCAATTTACTAACTATAATTCTTCAGTACATATCTCTTAAAAACAAATAACTATGTTTTTTAAATGCTTTTATTTGTTTGTTTATTTTGTTTTATTTTTATTTTTATTATTTTTTTAAAAAAGGACGATTTTAATGCTCATCGGAAGTGAATTTAGTATGCTATTCCCCAAAAGTGGCTTTAGTAATGGTAAAAAATGTTCAGCACCCCACAGAACCCTAACCTCTAACTTTAATTTGCGCCCTAATTCTAAAGTCTAATTTTAAATTTAAAATTAAAATTTAAATGAAATCTTAAAAATAGCTAGATGCTTCTCCCGTTGTTGAACAACGGGTTAAACGTGATACAAATGAATAACGTGATGCCATACTTTGTGGTTTCTAAATTATATTTATATTGTAATTGAAGAATGGTTTACAATCGGTGTTTTAAAATTCAATTTTATTTCATTTTCGATATGAGGAAAAGCCTTGCAATTTTTGTAAACATATCGAAATTCAAAAAAAAAAAAAAAGTATGCGTAACATGTAAGCTAATGTTGTAATGACACAATAAAATTTCGAAGATTCCAAGAAGTCTTGCTTAGAAATGAATTTTCAATCTACGCATCGCATATTCCGCATATAGATTTGCATCTTTTTTATTGGTTTATCAGAAATTTACAAAAATGTATAGTGTAATTTTCAGTATATCTTTTCATGGTATACAAACAAACATTAATGGTAAACCCGGATTTTAATATTAAAAACCGGATTATCTGAATTTTACATTAAACCGATTTAAAGTAAACCGGTTCCGATTTTATTTGAATGTTAGAAAATAACTTGTAATTTGAGTTCAAATAAAATTTTGAGAGTCCACGGATTATTTTTTGTCTATTTTTATGTACTGTATCTGATATATTACATGATTTAAGTTTGCATTAGAAAATTTATTTATAATTGAGGATTTTGTTAGAAACTATCTTTACAGATACAGTATATATATATATATATATATATTCGATTGAAAAATTAAGTATTTAAACAAAAAAAGTGATATATTTAAAAATATTTATATCGCAGTAATATTTTTGTTGTAGATACCATCGAAATAAATTACGAACGTACCTACTTTAATTAATTTTTTTTTTTCTTTTTTATTTACGAAAAAGGACAAATTTTAAAACCATTTTTTGTTTTTTTTGTCTATTCTAATATAGAAAAAAGACTATACAAAAAATACAAAGTAATATAACCCTATGTATACAAAAGATTCTATAATATATATTAGTTTTTCATTGATCCGGGCGTTTTAGGTTGCATGAAAGGAATGGGTGGTGGTGGTGGTGGTGTCGAAGACAAAATATCGGAATTTATCTGGTCATTGTTCGTTAAACTTACTGTTATTTTATTATCCACTGTATTATCGTCATTTGAGCGTTCATTTCCACCATTTTGTTTTATTTCATTCCCATTCCTATCATTTTGTTGACTTTCAAGAAATCTATTAAAACTTTTAAAACTTTTAAAACTTTTAACACTATTAATTGCACTATTAATTGCACTAGTACTATTATCACCACCATTCTTGTCTACTTTATTATTTCCTCCATAATTATGACGACCATTTCTGCCAATGCTATAATTTCTAAACACGTTACCCCATCTAATTTCTTCAAATTTTAAAACATCATCCCCTATTTTATATTTACTGAATGATGTTGTCCTTTTCAAATTTCCGAATGTGCTAGGTGGATGCTCAACAATTGATATATCCATCTCTGAGTCCATCTCAATATCATCTTCTCCATTAACTGCCATTGCTGACATATTGTCATTCATTGAATTATGCTCAGGACTACCAACAAATGTAGCAATTGATGATCGTTTACGGAATATGGGCTTTAAACAGCAGCACGGATTAAGACATATACAAAGAAGTAAAGAACGTAGAGCTTCTTGAGTTGTACCAAAGATTAAGAAGAGACCAAGTGCCAAAATTGTGTTGAAATAAGCATTCATATGTGGCAACATTAGGGCCATCGTTTTGCAAATATTCGTTGTATCCCAACTGAAGTGTTCGAGTAAATCTTCAAGTGGTAGGACTATATATATATATATATATATATATATATATTTTTAAAAAAAAAAAAGAAAAGAAATTGGTTTAAATAAATTGATGAAAATGATGAAAATGAAATATGTACATGTATATAAAAAATTTTTTTAATTATAATTTAAAACATACCAATTTTTATAAAAGACAAGATAACAAAAAGAGTGCAAAATAGGATCATTCGTATACATAACCTAAACGTATAAAATCGTTACAAATAAAATTTGAGCAATTGTACTGTTACGTACGCGAAAATTCAAACCTACTTATATGATTATATACCCCATTGGAATTTTTAATTTGTTTGTACGACGCCCTCTAGAGAGCCTTGTTCGATAAGTGATCAATGCCCATGAAGCATGAACTAATAATAATAATAATAATATAATAATATAATAATATAGAAATTTAAGATAAATGTTTGTAATATGTGAATTTTGAATGTTTTTAATCACTTACCGCCTAAACCAAGACCTATAAACATGCACAGCAAGAAAGGAATATGGTTTGCGCCGAGACTAATAAGTCCACCTGTGACTATACAATGGTAGTAGGATGTGGTAACACCAAAATTGGCTTGCGATTTTAAAAGTATGAATGTAGTGAATGTTATGAATAAAGGAACACACCAGGAGAATATTATATGGATCTATATTATGAATTTTGGGATGTATAAGTTTTTATTATATAAGATATGGTATGAGAATGTATTAGATTTTTTTATTTTATAAATATAAAAATAAATAAGTTAACATGAAAGAAGAGAGAAGAAAAGTATATATGTATATATGTCATTTAATGAAGTCTTCTTC